TTTGGGTGCAGTTCCTGTAGATGTGTGGCAGGACCATGAGGTTTAGAGCTCTAGTGTCCTTGCCTGCTATACAGTGGTGAGAGTGGTGTGTTGAAATCTCCTACTATATATGTATTTTCTCTGATTCACAGATGGTAATAATTGTCTGATATATTTGGTGCTCCTTCATTTGGTGAATATGTGTTGTTATGGTTTCCTGATGTATTGTCCCCTTAATCATAATAGAGTGACTATGTCTCTTTTTACCTTTTTTTTTTCTTTTTTAAAGATTTATTTATTTGTGTATACAGAACTGGAGTACAGGCCACAGGTGCAGGGGCAGTGAGAGGATTCACCAGAGACAGAGTAGGGAGCAGAACAGGCAGATTGACAAAGTACACTGCTGAGGGGAGCAGCGGGTAGGTCTGGAGAGTTCTGCCTAGTTATATGGATCACCTCTGGGCCTGGCGGGGTTTGGGGTTTGAACGTATGCAGAAGTGGCTTTAACTTCTTAGTGCTGTGCTTTAACCCACTGCACCACCAGGGAGGGCCCACATGGCAGCAGTACTGCTGCTGCTGCTTGCCCACCTGTTGATCTTTGAAGCTTTCCAATATCCCAGGTTTCTTCCGTGGCCTCCAAATTGTCTCTTCTTTCCTCCTGGACTATGAGTTCATTATGTGGGTGGGGACGGGGAGTGGTTAGAAGGGTCACAAGTCCCCAATCTCTGAATCTCTTCTTTTCCTTGCCCTGTTTTTTGGTTTTGTTACCCCATCACCTTCCGTATGTTTTAACTGGGACACCAACTTTGTCCAATTTTGGGAATTGTCCTCTACTACTCCCTATGAATTACTATTGTGGGAGAGTATTCTAACTTAAGGTCCTTTGGAGGGCATGTTGGTGAAATTCTCTAAAATTTAAAAAATACTGTTTTAACCATTTTCCCCCACACAGTTACTATTTAATTAGGTTAATGTTTGATTATTTGTGCTTGTTAGAATTTAGTTCTTTCCCAAATGCAGACTCAATTATTAGATTTGTGGTAATACTGTGGACTTTTTCTTTCTTCAGGTGAGCTTTTTCTGTTTCTTTTTCACCTCAGATTTTGCATTTTAACCTTTTTTCCCCCATTTTACCCATTTTTCAGTGTATAGTTTGCTGGTGGTAAGCTGCATTCATTTTGCTCTTCAGCCATCACTACCATTCACCTCTAGACGATTTTTTATCTTCCCAAACTGAAACTCCTCATCAGATAAACTGACCTTTATTTTTCTATTTGTTGAGACATCTTTGATTCATTTGTTCTCATTCAACTCTTCATGAAGGACTTTGTCTCTCTCTTTTTTTTTAAAGATTTATTTATTTATGCTTACAGAACTGGGGTACAGGCCAGAGGTGCAGGGGTGGTGAGAGGATTCACTAGAGACAGAGTGGGGAGCAGAACAGGCAGATCGTTGAAGTACACTGCTGAGGGGAGCAGTGGGCGGGCCAGGAGAGGTCTGCCTCCCCATGTGGATCACTTCCAGGGCAGGCAGGGTTCGAACTTATGCTGAAGTGGCTTTAGCATCTTAGTGCTGTGCTTTAACCTGCTGTACCACCAGGGAGGGCTGGGCTTTATCTCTTAATGATATGTATCTGGACAATCCTATTTCTAGACAGTTGTCTATCTACATGATTATATTTCTGTTTTTTGCCTCATAGTGTTGCTATAATTTCAGGTTCTCAGGTCTAGTCTTCCTGTTACAGGGCAGTGAGGGAGGGGCACCACCAAACTCCCAAACCTACTTGCTCTAAATAGGTTCTGCCGTCCATCGCATCAAGACAAAACATGTAAGACTTTAATGAAACAGAATTTTAATACAGTGAGTATACAACACAGAAGACAAAGAATATAATTGCTAAATCAAACACCTGAAGTTACCCATCCCCTTGTGGGCAAAAGTCCACACAAAAGGGATTGGCCCAAAGCAAGGTTGAAAGCCCCTCACAAGACAAGCACCTCTGGACGGGACCCATAGAAAAGGTTCAGAAATGGCCAGACAAGTCTGGGAGGAAAAGAGCAAAATCAAAATTAAGTTAAACTGCCGTAGTTAACCTCCCCACGGGATTCTTACTCACATATGTTTCCCCCAGTCCAGGACCAGAAGCAAGCAAAGTTTCTTTACACATTTCTCTGCTCCATGTGGCTCCCTCAAGTCTTCTGGCTCTCCATCCTTTTTCCTCCTTCTCCAGGTTCCTTCTCTCCTTTTCCCTGCCCAGCTCCATCCTCCTTCTGGGTGGGGCAGGGAACCTGGAGCTTCCCCTTTTCCTAGGGACTCTGCTACATTTCAGCTAGGAATGGATCCCACGCTGCAGGGGCAGCACTGAGTCCAACCATTAGCTCACCAGGGATTGGTTTCTCATGAAGCCTCAGCAGAAACTGTGCTGATGCTCAGGCAAGCAAGGGAAAAGAGGCACATTTGTTTAAAGAAAATATTAAGGAGAAGAACGGAAATAAAGTGGGACTCCTAGGTGGGTGGAACCACAGCAGACAGGGTCTAGGAAGCCTCTGGGAATCTGTACTTTCTCTTCAGTCTCTTTGCAGTTGGTTACTTTTGGGTGGTCCCTCGTATTCTAATTGTCTCTGCCCAGAAATAAGTCTTGAGTTCCACCCCTTATCTTAGAGTCCCTTTTCTTTATCATCTTTATCCCAAAAAGTCCTGTTGCTCTTTGTCCTGGGTGTTGGATTAGTTCCCTTTGGAATTTGTGGCCCTTATTTCTGGAGCCTTCCTTATTCCGCTAGGGCTTTTCTTAGTCTGTTCTGACCTTAAGGAGCTCTCTACTTGCCCAGTGACTTAATTTTGCAGGTTGAGTTTTATTTATACAGAAGTGAAGGTTTCATTATTTATCTCTATTGCTTGGTTCATACAGACACAAATCCTTCTGTCTGTATCTCCTCGCCCATTCTTATAGGAGAGCATTGAAAACTTCAAATTTAACAAAGGATTCAAGTAAGTAGTTAACATATTTAATTTTTTTGGGAAGCCTGTGAAAATCAAGTTTAACGGTATATCTAATTAAGAACTACATAGTATTTCTTTAGAACTCAGTTTATTTCCTTATTAATTACAAAATCCTGTTTTCACTTATATTCTCCTTTAATTTGTTAATTCATATTCATCAGTTTACCATTACTTGACATGTTTAGTTTATTGAGTAATTTTCAGGACCTTTAAAAGCATTTTTCTAAATAATAGAAAATGGAATGTGGAAAACATTAGGCAATGAAAATAATTACCTCCCATTTCATCAGTCACCAGTTCTCCCCACGGGTAGGAGCTGTTGCATGGATATTTATGTTCATTCTGCCTGTTATTTTTCAAAAGTGGCAGCATATTTTACATATTAAATATGCCCTTTGCTTTTTTTTTTTTTAACTTAGCAGTGTATCTTGGTAATTTTTTCATATCATTATGTATGGGGTAACTTTTCTTGGAAATGGTTTGCATAATACTCCTTTACTGTGCAACCATTTAATCTGTTCCCTCCTGATGGATGGTCTAGATGGCTTTCAGTCTTTGCTGTGCAAGCATGCGTAGAAATGGTTGCTAAGTCAAAGCAGGTGTGTATTTAGCATTTTGAATAGATAGGGCCAGAGTGTGACCAGCTGCACCACATTATATAACCTTTACTAACCTACTAACCTGTGAGAGTGTTGCTGTCCTTGTGCTTGCAAAATAATTTGCTTTTTTGCAGCACTAAGTCCCATTATAGTTTTAGTTTTTATATACTCTGCTACTTTTATATAATAACAGCACCATTCAGTAGTTGTTACAGAGATCTTTTACCTGCAAGGACAGATAAGTGTGTGTGTGTGTGTGTGTGTGTACACATATATGTATGTTTTTTTTTTTTTTAAGTTTCCTAACCCCTCATCTTCTGCTTCAACATTATCCTATAAATGATGTTTGGACTGTTTCCTGCATCCTATTGCCATCCTGCCATGTTTGCCTAACTTATTTTCTCTTCTGCCTGCTTGCAGATTGTTTTTGTCTGGACTCTATACACTACTTTAACTCTGTCCTCAGACTGATTAGTTTTCATTCAAGAAGAAAGCATTCATTTCATTCAAGAAGAAAGAAAGAAACTATTGACAAAACTTTTTATTTCCGTTTCAAAAAGCATTAAAAATAAAGTCAAGATTGGTTTGGTTCAGGGTTTGTTAAGGTGAGGTTCAGGGTTTGTTAAGGTTTTTTTTTTAAAGAATTTCAAATCTTTTTCAAGTAAAACCACCTTTTTTTTTTTAAAGAATTGTTTATTGACACAAGAATTGGGGTACAGGTCAGAGGTGTGTGTGTGTGTGTGTGT